CTGGGTTTTTTCTTTGTTTTTTTTTTTTTTTTTTTTCATGCTGAGCAGCTGACTACTATCGCTCACGTCAGGCAAGGAGACAGAATAGAAAAGCAATCACCTGCTGTGTTTATACTTGGCTCTAAAGTGCTTTGTTTGGAGGCAGAGTAATGAAAATCATCAGAAGGAAGTTCTTTATTGGTGAGAACATTATGAGCAACCGAAAAAGAGAGTTATAAAAAAATTTGCTGTCCAAGCTGAACTCTAGAGTTGTTACCCAACCACATGGCAATAATAGAAACAAGAGAGCTGGAAAGGTAAACACTTGAAAAGACATTCCTTTCTTCCATCCTGCCTTTTTTTCTCCCCTGGTAAACAAATTTTAACAAGTGGAATTGCAACATCTCCTGTATTTTTACTTGTCATGCTATAATTTTATAGTATAACACAGTATGGCCAAAATTCATGAGGGTTCATTTACAGTATTCATAATCCTGAGGTTAGATGAACTTCATGTGATTGTAGCATCAAACTTCTATCCTTGATCACTTAAAGTTTCATCCTTGTGGACTAATCCAGAAGAGGGTGAAATATCAGTGGATTTTCAGTGGGCATTAGCTCACCTGAGCATCATGTCAAGTGTGTAAATTGGTAAGATTTTTGCAAAAAGTCTTGAATATGCACTATGCAATCCCCCAGGGTCCTCACTGATTTTGGCTGGGATTATAGTCTGACAACTTGAAAATCACTGTGGATGTACTGGGAAGTAGATGCAGACACCCAGTTTGGGGAATGTTAGCTGTTTGCTTTTGCAGTAGAGAAAAAGTAGCACTTTCCCCACCTAGCACTGAGGTGGTATGAATTGTTGTAGTTGCTGTGATTCAGAGCTGGGCAGTTCCAGATGGAAGAGAATAAGCTTACTTAATAGTTACTGGGCAGGATATGGAAAATTATGGGTCCTGCATAGCTGTAGCTTGGCTGTCTTCCACGTCAGTAGTATTTTGCATTGCTCTGTATGCTGTTAACACCTTGGTATATATGAATAGTGTGGTCACACTATAGCTGCTTGGGGAACTATAACTTTGAACTGTGTAAAATTTATTAATGTGATTTTCATGGAGAGGCTTTTTTTTCTGATGGAAGATGTTTAATTAGAGTAGAAAGGTAGGAAAATAAAAGGTGGAAATGTATGCTTATCTCATCCGGCTATACAGTTAGCTTACCTGCTTTTTAGTTATGTGGTACCTTGAATGGCATGTGAAAGTAGTACGGAAGATATCTCAGCAGGGGGGTTCCACATATTTGTATTGCAGCCTCCAAAGATGTTCAGCAAACATGGAAGCTTCTGTGCTGCCACTCATATTGCTGATGACACATGTTGGGGGGTGGCTCTGCTGTGCAGTACGGGTCAGGGACAGCAACATTTTAGTAGACCTGACGTGCAAATTATGATCACAGCATTTGGAGCTCAGCTAGCACCTGTAATTAAAAAACCAGCATAAATCAAAATGGAAAATACTATAATAAAAAATTTCGGCTTTTTATTAGAGCTCAACTAAAAGAACTGTTAATTACCTACAATATCAGTGGATCTTTAATAGCCTTTATAATCTGTTTAGTTTTGTCCCGAGGGCTGTCTAATGTTGAATCTCACATGATTAATTACCATGGAGACCTTCGAGCAACCTGTGAACACATCTTCACATTTACTCTGGTCCCTATTTGACACATTAATGGAACATATACTACTTCTAGCCTTTTTTAACCCTTTCCTGCAGCAAAGGAAGAATGGATTTTTTTCTGTAAGTATTATTTCCTCTTACTGTAAGGTATTCTAAAATTCAAATAAACACAGGCCAAAAAGTGTAAAAATTGTTGAGGAAAATTTGGTGTCAGTCTGTTTCATCATTTCTGATAGGACTGGATGTAGAACAGAAGCTATGTCAAAATAATAATAATAAGAAAATCCTTCATACCCATGAGGTACATAAGGTATCATTAACAGAGTTAATGCTGCGCAGAAACGAAGTCCTGGGACTATATGGCTTGGGACAGTGTTCTAATAAGTCAGGAGTGGTATCAGATGGAACAAATTTTGCACTCTTTTTAGTCGGAGGATCTGTTGTAGACAGTCATAGGCAACAGAGCTACAAAATGAACCTGAGCGAGTTCTGGACAGGTGGAAAATGGAACAAAGAAAGAGCAATCCCTTCAAAATTATCTGCAACCATTACTTTGCATTGTAATATTCCTCCCATCTCTGATATTTTCTCCTTTCTAAGCTAGAGCAGTCCTAAACATCGTGCAACCCATCCTCTGTATAGGATCATGGCAACTTCTAAATGATCAAGCAAGATGATATGCAGGAAAACTTTATGCCCTTCAAGGCATCCTGTATCCCCTTTCAAGAACTGGTGCTTGAACATGTTCCTGGAATAATGTGAAAAGTAGCCAGTGTGCCCAACATATGGTTTGGCTGGGGAGTGTTGGTGTGGTCTCACCTGCAAACAGTAAATACTACTCTTTTAGAAGAAGATTTCAAATGGCATAAATTACCAGCATTTTCCCCTTCCTTGACAATGTAAGACAAAATGCTGGGGTTTGTGCGTGAGGAACTGAGAGGTGGCACAGATAATCTTTTGATGATTTTCTGATGTGATTTTTCATATGTAATGTCAGGGCTTTTGGTCAAGAGGCAAGGCAGGGGGCTGTGGCAGTAACCTCCCAAACTGCCAAGTGAGTTTTCACAGAGCTTATCTGGCAAATCTGCAGTGTCTACAGGAGGGTTTTCAGGCTGGCATGGGTAGATTTCAGATTGAGCAAATTAGCTGACAAAATGGATTTTGAAGGTTGCTGTGTTACGCTGAGAGGTCTTTGCCATGGACAAAGGAAGTGACAAATAGCTTTCCTTGAAATGGATGCCAGCCACAAGCTGTAAATCAGCCAGCAGGGGGGTAAAGCAACTAGAGAGACTCATTTCTCTCCTGAGAGAATGAGTGTCACATCAAGAAAGCCTGTTTGATCATCCATAGGCCACTTGGACTCTAATACTGGCACATAAAGTAGTTGTCAAGCTTTGTGGTTTCTTGGTTTGGGGTTTTTTTTCAATTCTGAAAAATTAAACCCCTGCCGGCAAAGCCTGTCCTAGTGTGCACTCTGTCCATCAGCTCCTGTTGTGCCACCAAAAGCCTGACTTTCACCTCTGCTTTCATGCTTTCTCCTTAGGTCAAAATAACTGCAGCTGCCTTTTAGTCTTTGGCTGTCAAGACTGAGCTGAGCTGTTCTGCGCCTTCTGTAGCACTGTGGGCTCTTCCCCTAAACTGGTGGTGCATTTTCTTAATGCAACATAGGTTGGAGTTATTTCACCTCTACTTTCATGCTTTCTCCTTAGGTCAAAATAACTGCAGCTGCCTTTTAGTCTTTGGCTGTCAAGACAGAGCTGAGCTGTTCTGCGCCTTCTGGGCTCTTCCCCTAAACTGGTGGTGCATTTTCTTAATGCAACATAGGTTGGAGTTATCTAAAAGTCCAATTTTAAATGTCAAAGCAATGTAAACTTTTGTATTATCAGTAAATAATTCCACAATTCTCCTTACTGTTGGCAATTGGTTTAAGAGTGAAGGAATGTCTTGCATGTAATTATATTACCAGGGGCTTGGTTAGTTTTGCTTAGCCAATCAACTATGTAATACTTTTTATCTATGGAGCAGTTATTTACTTAACTGGCTACATGTTTTTATCTTTTAACATTTTTAATGTCCAGCTAAAACTGTGAGAGTTAGAGTAGCACTTTATTTACCAACATTTTAAATTGTTTAGATACACTGAAGTGGAAGATAAGCTAAATGTTGTTTCTATCCAGGAGAGTATTTGTAGAGGTGGGTTGTTCGCTGGAAATGGCAGTAAGAGACCCCATAATGTGGTATAATCATTGATTACGCCTTTGCTAGCATGTCAGGAGCTTTTTCATTGCAATGAAAACTGTGAGTGAATGGGAACATCCTTCTTGCAGCTGAAAAGATAATTCATTCTGAATTATTGTGCATCAAGCCAGGGTGCATTGCACTACTGAGATGTGAGTTGCTGCTTACAGAAGAGGAATACCTGTGCTGCTCAAGCCGTGTGTGTCTGGTTTAGCTGATGCATCTCCATCTGAACTCAGCTCCTAAAATAATTACTGCTTCATCACTGAAGCACACCAGGCTCCTGTGAACAAACCTGTAATATTTCTGCGGCACTCTGCTTTCAACTGTTGTTACTCACAGTAATGTAGACCAAAAGCTGTAGGTTGCCTGCATAGACTCATGGGAGGCAGAGCTGGCTGGCAGCAGTCTTCTTTTATATTAGATTAGAAAGCAACATCTCATTCATTTCATGTCACTTACTGAAAAAACTGTGAAGGACAGGAAACTGTTCTCCTGGCAGTTCCAGAGAACGCATTACCGTAGAGGGCAAGTAGTTTCCTCCATTGCTCATTTGCTAGTGGAGAGATGCTCAGCTGAGCAAGGGCCAGGAATGGAAGTGGTAATCATTAAACAAGCAACTCCACCAGTTGCACTCTCCAAAAAAAATCATGGCACAACATACTTCCCAATCCTGAGAGGTGCTAAGTCCTCTGTGCAGGGGGAGGAGGACATGCTCCATGCTGTGGGATGAGGGTGCTCAGCACCTTACAGAATCTCATGTGGTCAGCTGCAGAATTTGTGCGTCTGGGCATGGGAACTGTGATCTGCAAATTTCTCCCCTATCTGCAGAGCTATTCAGACACAACATTAAAGTGTGATTTGAATGTTCAGAATAGCAGATAGTGGTTAACTGTTTTTAAAAATGGGTCAAAAGTTGCCATTTTGCCCCTGGGTTTTTTTTGAGATACATTCCTTTGTGTTCCAGCAGTGGAGAAAATAACCCCCCAAATTAGTCATTTTGGTTAATTTGGAGATCCCCTCTAGTTAATCAATTCCATAGGGAAGAAAAGTTTTTCCTGTGTCAATTGCCATTGCTTTTTTTTTCTTTTTTTTTTTTAGGTGAACATGTTTGTGGAAGGATTCCATGATGCTATTCTTCTTTATGCTCTAGCTTTACAGGAAGTCCTGAAGTTTGGTTTCAGTAAGAAAGATGGGGAAAAAATTGTTCAGCAAACACGGAACAGAACATATGAAGGTAAGAGTTAATATGGAATGCCAGCTTTTAGAGTCAAAAAAATACAGGTCTTAATTGTGTGCAGAGCAAGGACCTGTGCCCATTCCACTCTTAAATGAGAGGAAAATAGCCATACGAAACCATATACATCTTTAGGGCTGGCTCACATACCTCACCAGACTGACTTTTTTTTTTTGCACCAACCCTTGAGGTCTTATTCAGCTCAAAAAACTCCTAACAATTTAATGGCCCTCACTGATGTTGTAAAGAAATACCAATAATTTTCTCAGGCTCCTTCTTTGTTTTTGAAAAGATTACAGCTGCTCGCTTTACTCAAGTGCATCTATTAGCTCTGAGATTGCCTCATTTTTTCCATTTGACTTTTTTATCTTAAAAGCCTGGGAATGGATAGAAGCAAGCAGGTGCCAGGTTTTTTTTTGTTTGTTTCTTGACAGGGCTCCTTTGGGCCCTGGAAGGATTTCCCCCCAGCCTCCTTTCAGGAGCCGTGCGTGTTATCTCAGAGGCAGCAGCTGAACAGCACTGTGCCTTTCTGTGCCTAATCCTGTAGGTTGCAATTCCGCAGTGCAGCTGGCACTTGTATGTCACCCAGCTGATGCAAAGTGATGTGAGTGCTTTTGCCAGGTAGGGATCGTAGTAAAGAAACCAAGGATTATTGGGTTCATCTGTCATCTCTTCGAATATTCCCATCCATCTCTTTATAATATTCCCATCCATCTCTTATAATGCTCCAATCTTTTGGTGTAGGATTGGCAAGATTTCCTGTGGAAATGCCTGAGAGAAGGAAACATTTCCCCTAGATAAGATGTGAATGATTAATTTGAATGTGTAAGAAAAACCTCAGTGGCCAGGTTCTCTGCTCTAAGAACGCACTGGACGTAGCGGAGAATGGCAAGGAGGACAGCAGCTCCAAACCTCTTTTCTGTTCTCAAATTGTGGCCTGAACACAAGGCAAAGGAGTTCTCAGGGCAGCTTAAGGCAACACAAGGATTGCTTTAAATTATGCTGGTTGCAGCCATCCCATGAGGAGCCCTGCACCAGCTGGAGATTGTACTTGATGTCCCACTACCTCCCTTCGCATCCATGGCTTCCCAAAACACACTGTTTTAACAGAGGGAATCTGGTGTCTAAGGATTTGCCTCACTGTTTGGTTATCCCGTGTATGAACAGATGCCCCAGCACAACCTGTCTGTGTTTTCTCTACTCCTACTTCTCTGCTCTAGGAAGCCACCAGCTGGTGTGCCCATGCAAGTCTTTTAAAGTATCATGTGCTCCATGCAGGTTACATGGTTGATTCTCACACCTTTCTTGTAAAACCAGCCAGGAGGAGAAAAATGTTCTCTTTCCCTGCTTGTGAAAACAAGTTTGTTGTTGCTGGTTGACCTGTCACAGCTATTCTGAAAATGTAGCTGTCAAGCTGAGCTGTAAGGGTGCAGCTGAAAAGGTCAAAATGCCATGTAAGTCATATGCCATCTTCTCCCTGTGGCAGTACTTTGCTGGACATAATTTACAAGGATAAAACTGTTTTTGAAAGAGGCCTTTAACTTGATGTCTTGCAACCCAGTCCTTTTAGGAAAATCACGTCCCTTTATTCTGCCTGTAAGACCCTCTCTGAAGTGGATGCAGCATCGCAGATTATGGTCCATGCATACACCCACCAGGCTCTACTGCAGGACTGAAGCTTTATAATTCACTTCGACTTTTGCAGGCCTCGATGATGAGAACTCCAATTTAATTAATGACATTAATTTAACTGCTGACATCTAGATATCTAATTGCCTGGGTGCCTCATTTTACAGCCTGCTCTGAATAAGCGACCCGTCAGAACTCCCAACAGGGTATGGATGCTGCTTCCTGCAGCGTTCACAGTCTGCCAGCCACAACTGCACAGGCCACATCCTGTGCTTAGGAAAGCATAAGGCTCAGGTGATCAAAGGCTTTCTTACTGCTTGGGTTGTTAGAGACACCCTGATACGACTGCAGGGGGAACATTCTGTGGAGAATATTTTCTGTTCATTGGCATTTCCTCTGAAAAAGTAGCAAAATCTTCTGTATGTAAGTATCTAACATAATGTAAGAAAAAGAGAATCTGGATAAAATCCTTCCACCCTCATCCAAACACAGTTCTTCATTAAGGTTGTTTCAAAATTTCCTAAATATGTTTCTTAAGGAAGAACATTGCAGGAAACGTTGACATTTCGAACTGTTTTGATTCAGATGGAAAAGTTAAAAATTAGTCTTTCCCATTAAAAAGAAATCCCGTAGGAATTCTGAGTTTCAGCAAATTTTAGTACCTACTTCCAAAAATTGAGTTTTGGCTTTCTTAGGCCAGGAAGGTGACTGTTCCAATTAACACCTCCTGTCAGATCCAGAATCCAAATTGTCCTGTAGGCAAAGATGTTGCAGCTTTTTGTAGTCGCCTCTTCCAGTGCTTTCACAGCCAATTGGTTGTACTCATTCTATTTTCCTGTAGTAATCAAATTTGCAATTGTTTGATTACTGTGTTGTTACACTGAAACATAGATGCTTGACAGTAAATCTTTTGATGACCACTACGTTTTGAAAATCACAGTAGGTTTAGACATTCCTGACGTCTAAACGTTCTCTAACGGGAACAGAGACAAGATAAATGTAGGTGTGTTAATCTGTTGCATGTTTACTATCATTAGGTATGTTGAGGGGAATTTATACTCTGGCTGAATATATGACCTCTCTCTTCTGATTTACGGTCACCAAGAGCCCGATTCTCTACTGCTTTGTGCCTGGTTTAGTCATATAGTTTGTGTAATATGGATGTAAAACGATGCCTGTTTGACTTGCACTGGTGTAAATGGCTACGTTTGATGTCAGGCAGTGGAGGATCACATTTGAGAATATCTGAGGTGATAAAGCATATCAGCAAAGTCTTGCAATGTCTTCGTCATAGTTAGGTTAGACCTTCATCAGAGTATGGTGGATTGATGGATTTCAAGAACCTGTTTGACTTACACTGCAAGAAGTTGGAGCCATGCTCTTTGTAGAGAAGGGCATACACTGAAAGAAGAGGTTTGAATACAAGGAAGTGTTTTTTCACCATGACAGTTGGAACAAGTTGCCCCAGAGAGGTTGTGCAGTTCCCATCCTTGGAGGTTTTCAAGACCGGATAAAGCCCTGAGCATCCTCCTATTCTGACCTCCTGGCTGACCCTGCTCTGAGCAGGGGGTTGGACTAGAGACCTCCTGAAGTCCCTTCAGACTTGAGTTATCCTTGAGTCTATGATTCCCAGTTTCCCTAAAGTTTCCCAGAACTTGTAAAGGAAGGAAGTGAACTGGGGGTCTAAAAATACAAAACAAACAGCACCGTATTATGCAGTTAATCTTACGTACATTTACAGGACTTAATGCATATGTAATGCACATGGTGCCTCTTGTCCGCACCCCCTCCAGTATCCCATCAGATGGAAACAACACTGGACTGGCTGTATAGGTGCACCAACCCCATTAGTCTGCGGGGCGTAGGGCTGTGCCCCTGTGTCCTCTGCACTCCTTATTGAGGCATCGTGAGGTATTTCAGGGTTAGGCTCTCTGTAAATAATTCACATTAAATATATTTGTGTTTTATTCTTGCATGCTGGCTTTCTGGATTAGATCTTTCTCACGTATTCCTCAACCAGTCTCACACATTTGATATTTAAAAAGGAGAAATGTTAAGAATTCAGGAATGCAGACACTGAGATGAAATTACAATTTCTTTTGGAATGCCAACAAAAATGCTGGGAGACTGATGAGATTTCCTGTCATATCGGTCTGTAAAAACCTGTCCACTGTTTTTTTGTTTTCCTTGGAAAGGCTCAGTATTTTAACTAATTAATTTTCTAATTCCTCACATGCCATTCTTTAGGCATTGCAGGGCAGGTGTCCATTGATGCCAATGGAGACAGATACGGGGATTTCTCTGTGATTGGAATGACGGACCCAGAGGCAGGCACACAGGAGGTAAGGAAACAAACACCATTGCAGTTGGCCACTGATTAGTTAGCCAGTGTAATGTAACATCATATCTGTTTACTTGGTGGGCACCTGTTTATCTCATATACACATTAAAAGGGTATTGCTTAATCCTGTCAAGCTGGGGCTGAAATCCTTTCTGTAAAAAAATTATCTTGAAGTAGTTATTCTAAAAATTTTTTTAAACTTTCTTAACTTCTCTTCTTTAACAGTATGTCTTTCTTTACATGATGCTAGATTCTTTAAAAACTAAAGGATGAAATCTCACGTGCTAACTAAGCAATAATAAATTTTGAATATGAGAAATTATTGTTTAAAATTAGTAAGGCCTTTTATTGACTGGTAAGAAGAAAGATTAATCTTACAGCAACAAGGACGCGTGAGTTACCCTGACGTATAAACACAGTGAGTACAGGTATTTTAATCTTACCCCATGGTCAGCCACAGGCAGGAGCATAGACCTTGCCTCGCCTTGTTTATCAGGCAGTAAGACCTGAGCACCTTGTTTTCAATGATTAAGAGGTGTTTTAGTCAGAGGGCTCCACATACACCACATGGGTTATTCCAGTGGACACAGCAGGAGTGGAAGCAGCCAGACTGTGAAAAACAGTCTATGAGAAATAGCACCAGCTGCACATAGTGAATAGCATGACTGGGTTGAGTTTATTAATACATACATTGCCCAAACTCCAGCTGCAGCATACAGCTTCTGTTAGTTGCGAAGTCAGCATCAACCTAAGCTTTGCTGGCCTCCTCTATTTCATCAAGCTCAAACGTAAAGCAGCAGTAATCTGAGCTGGACATTTCTACACGTGGATTTGAATCTGGTCATATTACTGTTCTTGTCAGTGGTGTGGCAGAGACAGACTCAAGAAACCTTTTTAAATTAATAAGGGTGTCTAGTGTGTTTTGGTGTGACTAAGAAACTCGAGCAGTAAACTGCAGACACTCCCACGGGTAGGAGTAATCATCATTAATTGAAACTAGGAGTACAAATTGGTTGGGGTAACTTTGGTTTGAACAACTTGTATCTCTTCTGTTTGTTCAGTCCATTAGCTTTCTATCTCGTTTATCAATTCAATCCCCCTCTCCTAGCCTTCCTTCCATTGCTCATTCACTTGCAACTTAAACTATCGTTTATTTCTTTGATGTTACATTTCTCCTTTTAACATGTTGCTCATTTTAATTTCCCTCTGCTTTGTTTATGATACATACAAATAGACATGCCATTAACACATTTTACATGGGATTACTTATTACTTGTGTCTGCTACATTCATTTCTACCCTTATGCCTCACTCTAAAAACATTGTTTCTTTGATGCCTTGTTTTATTAATTTTGCTGATTTCTTCTGTGTCCTTACGAGAATGTTTCTCAGCTGAACTGAGTCAGATGAATGCGTGTTTGGGGAGAGCTGTTTTCCCAGGTCCATTCACAGATTTTAAAGCTACAAGAAAACATCAGATTACCTAGTCTGACCTCTGCTGTATTACAGGCAGGCAGGTTTCTTTCCCTTGCATGTGACTAAAGCTCACGCAGTAACAGGCATTTGTTTTTCATTTGGCGACACTGAAGAGCAGGGACTGCCTCGCTTGCTCCCTCGATGTTTGTTCCACTGTTTAGCCACTCTTGCTCTTTAAAAATCTATGTCCTACTTCTGATCTGAATCCGTTTGGTCGCTGCTCATAGCTATTTGTTCTTCCTAAGCCTTTCTGCATGCTTTCATATTTAGTAAACCCTGCTGGTAGAGGACTCTCCCACTCCTGTTTGATAAATTAAACAATCTCTTAATGAATAGTTGCTGCCTGCAAATGGTCTCTGAGGTTTTTTCCCTCTACTTTTTCCAGTTTACTGAATTTGTCTTTATTTTTAAACAAATGTTAAAAAAAGTATTTCTTCTAAGGATTTATCTCCCAGTTGCAAAACTGGGAGAGAAATTAGCTCCTTTATTTAGTGTGAAATCTACCTTGGTGTATCTAACCAGGGCAATTGTTATCTCTCTTTTAATTCTTTCCCTTCAAAATGAAGTTTAGGTGAAAGATTTGAACAGGCTACCGATGTCTTGAATTCTAAACCCAGTGTATTAATAGATGTTTCTTATACATGGTAGGACAAATATGTCTTTTGATATGCTTCTGTCATCACTTCTGACTACTTCAGTGTCATGAATTGGCCTTTATTACTGTACATAGATCTTTTTGGAACTATTTTCAGATGAGTGACCTACTACTGTTAGCACAATTTAGCCCTGCAACTTTGCAGTAGATCCAACATACGTAATCTTGAATAAAGCCTGGATTTACTGTTGAGGACAGGACTGAAATTCTAAAGTATCTTTATGAATTGGTCTGAAATAATAGTCCATGCTACCGGAATAATAAGCATGAAAGGCCCTTTTCTGTGTAAATATCAACAACTGCAGAAATAAAAGGTGGAGAATGACAGACTCTGTTGTAGTTCTTCAGAAGATTTGAAGATTTTAGCTGAGCATGATCCAGTACCTCCAGATCCTTGCAAAATAGAAAAGTCCAGCCTGGAGTGTGTAGTCGGGTCTACAGCACACAAGGTACTTCAAATGATACTTTCACTTAGCTGGGTGACAGTCCTGAGCACTCAACCCACTATGGAGCAATTGAGGAAAGCCCAGGGAGAGCAGGAGGAATATTCAGAGGGTTAAAAAACTTGTGTGAACTGGGTTTATATAGAAGAGAAGCCTGAGGGCAGAACAGATAAAAGCCTGTGAAGATGTCAAGGGATGTTTCAGAAAGGAAGAGTCTCTGCATCCACTGGCAGTTGGATAAGTAGTGATGGATAATTGCAACAGGGGAGATATAGGTCACGTGTTAGGGAAAACCACGGACTGTAACGATAGCTAAGTTCCAGAATAATTGCCTACAGGAATTGTGAAGTCTCCATCTTTGGAGGCTCTTAAGAACAGGTTAGATAGATAAACATCTGTCAGGAATGCTCTTGTTCATCTGATCCTGCCTTGGGGCAGGGCATGCACTACATAACCTCCCACAGACCCCTTCAGACCTATTCTCTGTGATGCAACATCCTACCACAGGCGTCCAAGTGAGTGATGCAGCTCTCCTGTTTGTTTTACTTTCCTAAGCTGACAGGAGAATCTTCTCATTCCTTTCTTTTTTGCATAGGTGATCGGGGACTACTATGGAAAGCAGGGGCGTTTTGAAATTCGATCAAATGTGAAATATCCTTGGAATCACGGCAGACTGCGACTAGATGAAAGCCGAGTTTCAGAGCACACAAACAATACACCGTGTAAATCATGTAAGTTTAGTGACTTAATGCTTCTGCCCAGGCTGTCAGAGAGAGTAATCCATGTGGTGATGCAACATAACGGGCCATATTAAATTGCTTAGCACAGTTGTCCAACTGCGACATCGTGACTATGTCTCTCTGCTGACTGGGAAGTTAAGATCTGGCAGCCCTGGGTAGTACGTGGTCTGGTTCACTTCCCTGAACTTAAACATGACAGTAATCATGATGCACAGCCTAGGGCCCTGGAGGCTTTAGGACTTTCCAGGGTCTAAAAGGTAAAATCTCTTTTAGCCAGGAAGAAGGATATAACTGAAACCTCAAACAGAGAACAATCATATTGATAATTAGCAGCTGGGGAGGCAAGTGCTGATTGGAGCAGTGTTCTCCCAGTGCAGAATGATTTTCAGTGCTATGAGAAGGCACTGCGAGGGGCCTAGTAGGCTGAGAAGAAGTGAAGTCAGTTGAATGGGGCGATAGCTGTGAATGCAGAAGGCTGGGACTACCCTCCACAGAGAAGGTGTCCTTGTTTTCCAGCGTACTGACTTTGCAGACCATGCTGTAGCAGGACATTGCAGGGAGATAAGGGTAGGAAGATAATGGGTGCTTCAGTGGCAAAGTGTGGTCTTAGCTTTTCACAGGAAACAAATTGCTAGTCCTGCAGTGGAAAGGTATCTGCAACCTGATAATTCTTTGATCCCTGAAAAACCTGTGTGTACATACATGCTGTAGAGACTGTTTCCAGGCCATACCCTCTGTGATCAGCATGGCGTAGCTATGCACCTTCTTCCTTCCACACATCCTGATGTATGGACAAAATCCCCTCAAAGGGTCAAGGATAAATGAAGAGGAGGGAGCAGTTTAATTTTCTTAATATTTCTCTGTTCCTTTCCACAAACCCAGGTAGGCATGGAAAAGGGAGCAGGCTGCACCCACATGAAAATGCCATTGTTCTGCAGCTGCCCATCACTTTGCAGAATGACAGTCCCTACTTGGCCTCCCCGTCAGCCACTGTGTCCCTACTGTGCCTCTGTTGAGATTTGGAGCAAGGTGAAGCTCATATGGCTTTAACTTGAAACAGCATAGGTTCAGGGAAAAAAAAAGAGTTGAGGAGCTGTTGGATAATCTTACAGTCATTTTAATAAACCTGGGTGATAGAGGGTTATGATGCTAAACCAGGTGAAATGAGTTTGTTTCTGTTATAATGGCTCAGGGCATATTCCGTGCTGATTCCTATTATGTGCATCATTGTAATCCCAGTCCGTGTTATGATTCCGACCAAGCTATCCAGACCAGTTTCTTAACAACATTCCTGTGTATCACATCTCTAGAATTGTGTCTTCATCCGACACTGGTCTTGGGGGCTTGTTTAACCCCAAGGAAAGCAAGGACAAAAAATAAACCTGCAGAAACTGGAACTAAGGAAGAGGTTCCCCTGGAGTCCTGAGCTCTGAAAGGCTTTAGTTATTATCTGAAGTTGGTCACTCATTTCCTAGTTGTGTGTATTTTCCAATATGTGAATGCAAATAGTTCTCAATATGAACCCTGATTGTTTATTTTTTCCCTTTTCAAGCAGGTGGTCTAGGAGAATCAGCAGTTACAGGAATAGTTGTGGGCGCCTTGCTTGGAGCAGGATTGCTAATGGCTTTTTACTTTTTCAGGTTAGTCCAATTCATTGAAAGTTCTGTAAACTCTTTATTCACCATCCGAAATTCTCAGCTCCTGGCAGCACATCCTTGATGGGAGGCAGAGAGGCGCCATAATCATCGGTGGTAACATTCCTATCGGAGACAGTGAACACACTTCGATTGTCCTTTTGTGTATATCCAAATCATTTTAGTGACTCAGGGCCTCATCCTGTAACCACTTACATCTCTGAGTAACTTTACTCATGGAAGTAATTCCAGTGAGTTCCAGTCATTCACATTTGCTTTAGTAAAGTGCCCTGGCCTTGAAAGCCTTCTTTGTTTGGTACTCTTTGCCAGCACAATTGTGCAGGCTGTGATCGTGCAAGAGACTTATATCACTTGCCTGGTACCATCCTTAGTTTTTGAATATGGAGTGGAATTGCACTGGAAGCTAGAAAGAGATTTCTGTTTTGGTATAAGAGAGCATTTGGATTTCAAAGCTGTGCATTTAACTTAATAAGCTGAGGTCAGTGCAGGGTGATCAGTGTTTTATTCCTGTTTAAGTAAAATAATTCTTACATTGCTAGACAGCAAATCTAAAGTCTTGAGAGTTGATCCTACACTGACAGAATAAATTAGTTATACATGTTCAGCATCTTATACATACTGTAATTTATCCTCATACGCTATGGAAGAGAAAAGGCAGATAGGAGAGTAGAATTAACCTCTGCATATAAGAATCAAATAATTCTATCCAATAAAAATATCTGTTTATAAAAAAAAGTTAACAAAATGAAACAAGCAAAACCTGCTTCAATTCACCAGCACACTTCCAGAGTTTCTGAAGATCCCAGAACTAGGATTATTCATTAGTTGCTTACAGCTGAAATTCTGCAGGGTGATTTTATTCTTGCATGTGTTTGGTGCTTATATAATATGTTGTTTGGGTTTGAGACAAGATAAATTAGCTGGGACTGAATAAAGACTCTCTTTGAAAGAAAAAAGAAAATACAAATCTGTCTTTATATTTTATGTCATCAGAGGTTCTTGCATCTTTTATATATTCTCAATCTGAGATGATAATTTTTAGGTGTGTTTCTTAGCATTGCTGTTGTTGGGAGGGAATTGGTATGTGAGGACAAGAAATGAGGCAAAAGACATATCCTGAGCTGGTATAAAACTATGCAAAGCATCATTGTAGGAACAAGACTTAAACTCTTAGTCATCACACAAAGATTTAGACTGGAAATCCATGTGAGCAAAGGTGAGTGTCTGTAAAAGTAGATGGACAGACCTGAACTCAATGCCCAGTCTTTGTATTTATGGTCAGAGGGGAGAAATGAGCACTTTTTTCCGTGCAGTTCTTGTCATCCTCATGTAAAAGCTAAACCAGGTCAGAAGAATGCCTCTTAGAAATGCCTATTTCTCTCCATTGACCAAAGGAAGCCGGGAGTACTCTGTCAGATGGATCTGCACATTGGAGACATCTAAAGTCATATGGGTGAATTTCACCCTGGAGATCTGATTGCACTCACTCAGAGCAGGAATAGGGACAACCCTCTTATTCCACCATTAGAATAAACATATGAAACATAACATATCAGGATGTATGGGTCAGATTTTCAGAAAATGTATGTCTAGCAATTGTGTGCCTGGAAGTAATTTGCACCTGCAGGTTCTGTACCTTTCAAACTGTATATGTACCTTCTGATTACATCTTATTTGGATCTGTAATTACCACAAATGAGCATGCAAGCATAATTTTGAGTGTGCATGCAAACCGTTAAAAGATCTGGTAGTAGTTCTGATATGTAGCTTTGAAAGGATTTAGTCTTAGAGCTGTATTTCTAAAATGTGGACCTGTTCTTGTGCGTGAGCTACTACTGTACATGCTCTGACCTGTGGAAGGATCTGACTTGAAAATACATAAATGAAGTAAAGAACATAGGTTTTTCAAGTTATTTTGGAGCCTACTGATACAGACACAAATGTCTAGGGAATACTTTCAGAACTTGTAGGTTCCCACTTTCTGTTGAGCCATGTTACCCAAATTAAAACCTTGGTGTTTTGAAAATCATTCTTCCACTGCTACATACCTAGTTCTGACTCCTGCTACACATGCAAGTGGAGCAGAGCTTTCCTTGGCATACGAGCTTTTTGTCATGCATCTGCACAAGCAGTACTGTATGCACATGGGGCTGGACTAACGCCCTTCTGAAAAATTGGTCCTGAAACTGGGTAGAAGCATAAATGCATAAAATACAAATGTGAATCTTCTTACGATTTTGGGGGGAGATTTGGGTACTGAAGGGGAAACTGAAAGGCAGTCAGAGAGTTTGTTTCACATGTAAAGTAACATAACAATTCTTGAAAAGGCCCTAGAGGAAGACATGCGGGAAAAACTGTGTCTGATGCATGAGCAATCGTATTTATTTCTTGTCTGTCTGCTACATCCCTCTTCTTAATTCATCATACTACCTCCTCCGGCATTACAAACATAGTAGCTTTCTCAGAGGGAGATGGGAGGATTAGTTAGTTAATATATAGTTTCAGTGAGAAACACAACTGAATAAAGAGTCAGATCTGTTGTTTGAACTCTGCAGAAAGTGCCCCCCCACCCCGTATAGTGGAAAGAAATTTGGCTTTGATCAATATGAAGCAGTGATGTGACACAGTTCACATGACACTTCACAAAAACTTCCTAATCACTTAGATCAGAAATTTTCAAAGAAGCAAACGTCTGTGTCTTGGTGCTTTGAGACTGCTGTGTAGAAATTCACAGGCATTCTTGAGCCTGGGTAAAATGTTTTGAGGCAAACTACTTTAATCTTTGACCAGGGTTTCACATTCTGCCACATTTCATTTTTCAACTGGCACCCAGCTGTCCCCTACAGGCATTCTTTATAAGGGAAGTCCTGTTATCCTATAGCTAGAGAAGGGTTTCTCACTCTGTTCCTCTCCTTTCATGCAGAAAGAAATACAGAATAACTATTGAGAGACGAACTCGACAGGAGGACTGTAACATGGGGAAACATCGGCAGTTACGTGAAGACTCCATTAGATCTCATTTTTCTGCCGCATAAAGAAGAAGAAAAAGAATCCCATTCTTCCTAGGGAAAAAAAGAACTAGGGAAAAGGACACAACCAAAGACATCAGTGTAAAAAGAAGAGGCTCTTGAAGAACTCACTCTTTTAAGCAGTAATTTTGTCTTAATTTCTTTCAGAAGCTCAGGAATGATTTACTAATCACGTTATGCCGCATGGCCTTTCATCTCATGAAAAAAGAAAATGATGCAGTTTGATGTTATAGGATGTACTTAATATGTAAAGACAGTATTTCTTAAGGCATATATTAAGGGCAGCAGATCTGGGTTTAGTTGATGGGGAGTGCCTCATTCTGTTCCCTTTTTTGTTTTTTTTTTTTAGCTCCTACCACCTCCTTGCTCAATTGCATCTCACCCATGGGTATCAAATACGGTTTCAAAGGCACGGGTGCTGGTTGCTGTCAAAAGGAAAAAAGGGATTCATTTGGGGTATGATCCTGCATCACTGAATCATTGCCATTGATTACTGGGGATACAAGATTGGGCATATGGAGTTTAGTTCTGGGAGGGAACTGGCACTTGGGTGTAATTAACTCCACTGGGGTGTAATTAACTCCACTGAGAAAGTCAGGCAGGTGGAAACACACACAAACCATTTTTTTCTTGTTTGTGTAGTATCACAAACAAAAGCACCAATTCTCCCTCTTAGGTGCTGGGAGTTAGAAAAAAACGCCAGTGAAGGATGAGGAGTTTCACTGGTGTGAAATAGTGAGAGAGAAGACAATCAGGCCTTGGGGGAGGACTGGCTAATTCCTCAGTCTTATATGTGTTTTATCACGCTCTTTTCTCTCCACTGCCGTGACTTTTCAGAGAGGCAAATATAGTCCATGTAGAGTCTGCTCCTGTTCCCAGTGAAGTCAATCGCAAAATCCCATTAACTTCAGTGAGCACAGGACTGCATCCAAAATTGTAAATATGAAAGTGTTTGTATAGCTGAGGCAATTCAAAAGGGGATCTTTTCTGTGTAAAAATAACATTCCATGCTACCGTTTTATTTTTAGGATATTTTTAATCTTGTATTTTTCTATTAAAGTGTCTATTTTTGCTTTGGTAGGATTGAAAATTAAGGGAGAGGATGTTTTGAAGACATATTTTTTTATGATAGGAGTAACATGGAGGGGAAGTCAACAGCTGTAAATACATTTTAGAACCCGTATTTAGGGGAGGAGAAGTGACTTCATGGATAGTAACAAACTTTTTGCCCCACTTTCTTCTCCAGGCACGTACAACATTCAAATAGTTATTTAAACAATATAAATGCAGTTACTGAATTGTCTATGTGATGATGGCCCTGATCTTGAAAATAATGAACTTTTCACATGTTAAATAGTCCTATATTAGTTGGTGAGACTAACTGTTCATGTGTGTACAATTAAACACGCAAGGAATTACTTTCAGGAATCAGGGTGGTAAAACACTACTCTAGGCCTGACTTTAATGCTGCTGCCATCAGTGTCCCTGGGACTTTTGCCATTGACTTTACCAGGAGCAAAACTGAATCTATGATGAATTAGCTACTGACAGGAGAGCTCTGCGCTTTCTAGTCAGCAAATGGAAATGAACAGTACGTATTATAAATACGGTGAAGAAGACCCATAAAAATATTGTCTGTGGAAAAACCCAGCTATGACTATGGTTCTAGTGCGTGAAATCTTTTGGTTTATCCTACTCTGATTTCATAAGCAGAACTTTCTGGTATCAGCAGTCATAGTCAGACTTGAAACTTAATCTCAAAACTGGCACTAAAGCCTGTGTCCTACAAAACTTCTAGGCCCTGAGAAGCCAGAGTGCCAATTCAGAGAAACCATTTTGGGGTAGCTGGAAGTGAATGAAGAGCGAAAGCTGGCTCTGTCTTCTTTCAGCTGCCTTTTATTTCTTGATGGGGAAATACCTCATGGAGTATTTCCTTGGACTTTTTTTCCTTATGTTTCACTTGTCTCTTAGCATATGCAGGGGTTCCTCACCTGCCCTTGTGAAATATTGTCCAGTGTCCCAGGCAACCAGAGGGCAGGGCTTCCCGACTGTCAGGGCACCTCCACTATAGGTGGTGGATGTAGACCAGGTAGATCTGGTGTCTTTAGGACTCATTGTAACAGCTTTTGTTGACATGGTAGATTTCCATCATCCTGTATCCCAGTCTGAGCCTGTATGACTTCTGCAAAGGTGCCTTAGCCAAAGTAACACTGCAGTCAATGGACAGTTTTCTGAAGTAGCCTCCTCATCTCATGGGCACCAGAGAAGAATGTAGGCTAGAGCAGCATTCATACTGCTATGCAGCTGGGGAGAAAAAAAGACTTCCTGATTAGTTTTTGGAATTTTTTTCAAGCAGTTGAGTTTGTCTAGCCCCTGGGCATGCTTAAGGTTTGGGGGTTTTTAAATTATTTCCAAGGAAGTTTTGATCTATTTCTTGCTTTGCAAATACGTCTCTCAGTATTTTTACATTCTTTTATCCATTTGACTACTTTGCCACAGAAAAAGGGAAGGAAAATTTTTAAATACGTAGAGAAAAGAGGGTATGATTTGAAGTGTAAACTTTTTTCGAAATGAGGTTTGTTATGACTTGCCTTGAACTATTACTCAAACTGTCACTAGTTAGGAAGCAAGGCAGTAGTGTAGATCTGCATTTTTCCTGTGCCATGCACAGTCAGGTCAGACCAGAAGATCTGAGCCTGGAGAACTGGCTGGGACAATAAATTTTTAAGACAGCTTTTTTATTGCATCATCTTACTATAACTAAGCATATTAAAAAAGTATAGTGAAAGGTCGCTTTTTAATTAAAAAGATAATAATTCTGATCCCCAGTTTTATGTAGGGTTTTTAATCATGACCTCAAGAAGTGTTTTTGAGATGTCTGTTGGTGCGATGCTGATGGAGGCCTAGCCACAACTTTACATCCCAGCACCTCCCAAGAAAGGTGAACCTTTTTGCACATCAGAACATTTTAGATCAATGGGCTTTAATCTTTCTAAATTGGTGCACACCTACCTGTGTGTTTTTCCCATGGAAGTGTGGAGATCATTTAAGACATTTCACATAAGTAGATTTCTGAATAGCATAAATAAACTTGCCCTTCTTAGCTGTCTTTCACAGCCCTCTTGCTAATAGTTCCCAGGTCTTCTGTGGACCATAGATCAAAAACTGCCTTGAGTTTAGATTATTCAGCAGAGAGATTCTTTACCAGCTAATGCACTTTCCTTTCTGGTCCATCTGCATTAGCTCAATGCCACAATGTTTAGGCTTCAAACTCTGCAAGGGAATGTCTAATCAAAATAATAATAATTGATTCTCAAAAGAGTTTTCAAAACCTACATTTTTGGCTTCAAGAAATTGCCCATATTACAAACATACGTCTGTATTACAGAGCAGCACAAGGAGGGCCTTAACTCAGCTCAGCACTTCAGAACACACTTAAAATATGCTCAACTTCAGCTTCTAAGTGCTTTGCTCACTTGGGACGAAAGGGTAGGATCCTGCCCATGGCTGAACCAAAGGGAATCTTGCCATGTGCTTGAATCGGAGAAAGGTTGGCCCCACAGGCCACGTGTTTATTGCTAAATCTTAGTTGTGCCTGTTAGATTGAAATTGAACTAGTGGCTTCATACTTTTTGTTTGTCAAAGTTTGACAAATTCTGCTAATTTAGCATTTTTCTAAATTACCAAATATTGGTCAGCTTAATAGCTGATTCACCTCAGAGTCCTCTTCTTGAGGATTCTATGGACAAATTACCTGACTTCCACCCTTATCTTCAACACGTAGATTTCCACTGCAAGTTGACAAAGGTGAAGCAAAACTTTCAATAGTACCTGTGATTTAGTATGCTGAGACCCACAACGTTAAAGTCAGATGCCTAGATGCTTTTTCCTGGGCCGTTGGTAGTTCTGAAAGTTTTGTTTATGGACAGTTGGTGTGTCCTGAGTTGTCTGTGACTACCACCATCACCAGTTAATTACCAGTTCCTTCTGTGATGTGCTTCACTGAAGACCAAACCCAGCTAAGTTCTGAGAACATTCGTCATTGCTAAAACTTTTGATTGAGAGTGCTGCGCACCTTGCAAGATTGTGGCCAGAATTCAGTTTATTAAAGAGTTACATTCATTCACTTCTGAAAATAAATTTTATTGATCTATTTTCAATTTGTTTTTAAGAAATGCTTTATTGCATTATTGAAAGTAGTTTGTTGTTTTTTAATGGAGAATTATTAAGGTGTAGCTAATGCTTTGAAAACATTTGTGCTGGAAAAATTAAGAGTGTGCTCCCTGACAGCATGTTTTGCTGGGAGGTTGATCTCCGATTCATTTTTTGGCTTGGAGATGTGATCACACTCATTAAGCTGACCAAAAAAAACCTCTCATTGATTCAGTGGAAGTAAACTCAGGCCCTTAGTGAAGTGTCTTCAGGCTTTAAACTCAGCATCTTGAAGCAGTTCAGAGTGAATTTCTCAGCTTTGCAGTAGAACAGGCTGCATCAGCCTTAGCTGACCTTGGCTCCAGCATGATTTTCACCTCATGAATGCCATAATGCTCCTGGAAAGCCAAGAATAGACATCAAAGCCAGGAAGCTAATAGTCCTGGTCATAAATTTCTTTGGCAATTCAGTCCATGTTTTCCGGAGCTCAGGACAGTACCACATCCTTCACTACCTTCCTCTGTGCTTCAGAGTAGCCATGTAGCTGTTCTGTTTCTTTAAATAAAGTAGTTGAGGTTATTTTTCCTCATTTTCTCCCAGGGTAGAGTGAACACTCTTGAATTACCCATTTTTTTCATGCTCGTTTCTCTAGCTTCAGAAGTACTTTGAAAAGAGACAGCCATTTTCCACCATTTAGTCAGAAATGCTCTCTCTTCACTGAGAGGTGGCTTTTACGTAATTTCAGCCATTGTTTGTTGCCGCTGTGCTGCTCAGCTGCCAGCACACCTCGTGTTGGCCCATGGCCACACCAGCCGTTACCGGAGATCTAGACCCAGAACTGTCTGATGTTGTGTGTCTTTTAACCAAGCG